TTGCCTTCTGTATCACTTTTTCTACAAAAGTTGCTTATAAAAACATTTTGAGAGAGGGGGTCGTTATGAAGTTAGTTCGTAGGCTGCACGTGTATGAAAGTGCTAACCTATCTGTGTGCATTAGTAGCTTAATTGACTTCGCTAATACATAGTTGCATGATTCTGCTTGCATCATCTGAAAAATTACTGATTCGCTGCTGCCTCATAAACACCGTCATATTACTTAGCCTCTCTCAGAAATGCCTCAAGTGCCGTTATGGGAATCGGAGGAAATGTACAAGAGGTCTTTCCGGGCACTTATAGACAACTCCAACATCAGACAATCAGCTTTACTTCACTTGAATCAAGACGCTGCCGCTGAAGCTCTGAAGAAAGTTATAGACACAGTTGACCCGAGCGAGCCCCTTAAAATTTTGGGAATTGGTAGCGGCCCGGGTGACAAGGATTTGCTAATTTTACCAACTATAGGGGAATATTTTACGTCGAAAAAGGGCAAGAAGCCTGCACTCCAGAATGTGATCGTTGAACCAAGTTCCTGTCTCCTCGATGAATTCAAGGCGAAGGTTTCTTCGTTGCCGCCATTGTTACAACAGATTACCGAGAGTATCTCGTTTGAATGGCACCAGAAAACATTTCGTGAATTCCACGAGGAAACTGCTGAAAAGAATCGTTTTCAGCTCATTCACTTTTACCACAGCATTTATTACTTGGATGTGGAATACGCGCTGCGATCCTGTTTCGAAGAGCATCTGACAACCGACAGTGGGGTAATATTGTGTCTGGTTCAAGCTGAGGATTCATACATTGCCCTGGTGAGCCACAAATTTAAGGGAAAACTGAGTTGTGGTTCAGAGGACATGTCCTTCCGCACGGATCAGGAGCTTGTTGCTATTGCTGAGAAACACGGATGGAAGTACTCCGTTCCCCTCAAGGAACAGTTTGAGATCAACGTGACCAGCTGCCTTGCCGAGGAGCCAACTGAAAGAGGTGACTTGTTGATTGACTTTTTGACTCAACAGCAAAATTTCCGGGCGACTGCCGAGCCAGATTTGTATCACAGTGTGATTGAGTTTATCGATTCATTGACTTTTACCAAAGAAAACGGCGACAAGTTTGTGCAAGGACGCAGTGCCGTAGTAATAATCTACAAGTGATAAAACGTTACTTATTTATTTACACCTTTAAACAACACGGTGTTAGTCACGCAATAGTTCGACGTTGTCACGCAACGCAGACAAATTTTCCTTTTGTGTATAACCGTTAGAAAATCATCAGACATCAATCGACCGTTTCGAGCGTAGTGTATCTGCCAAGTTTCATAGAGGTTTTAAGCAAATACATAAAAGTAATAGCCTCAAAACGTTAATTTTTGTGTTGAATGGTACATAACCCTTTAACCCCTAAGAGTGACCAGCTTCTAATTTCTCATTACAATATCATCCCTGAAACGAACATCGTGGTCACGAGAAATCAAGGAAATGATCACTAACTCATTAAAGCTCTTGATTTTTAATCAAATTCTCCTTGTCAGCGCTTAAGGAAATGTATGGAGAACAGAATGGAGAATATTCATACTGATGTTAGGGTGTAAAGAGTGGAGAGGCAAGTGCAATGCACTGAAAAAATGGTAAAAGTACCTGTACCAATGGGACTACTGAATAATATAAAAATACTGTAATCAAGCAACATGATTGTACTAGCTTATTAGGTACTTAATCGATGAATAAAGACAAGATTTAGAGCAATTAAAGAGTGAATTAAATGAATATACAACAGCAAGGATACATCCGGATATCTTTGAAAACTGTAATTTTTTTGTCCTTCTTCGTTGCAGTATAGATTTTTTCACAATGGCGTCAGTAAAATGCGTAAAGAAGCGCAAAACGGTAAACTGGGAGTCTATGGATTTCCATGTTTATCTCCCTGGTACCAATTTTGTTGCTTACAGGCCTTCAACCTTTCACTCTCAAGAGCGACCATTTGATTCTCATAGTGAGTCAAATTAACAAAGCAATTTATTCTGATTTGTTAAACAAACTAACGATAATTTCACTTCACAACAATCTTTTTGTACCATTCGATTCAAACTCTTCAAAATGAGCGCATTTCGATTGAGCGTCGTTACTTTACGACAGCAGGAGCCTAGTAATGGGCTCCTGACTACAGCCAATCAGCATAAAGGTAAATGTCACAAGGAGCCAATGAGAATTTAAAGTGAAAACAAGAAAACTTCATAAAGCGCGGGGAAATGCGATTGTTCAAGTCACTGTTGGCTTTAGTTCGCAATCTGATTGGTTGAGAAAGTGGCGCGAGCTTTCCAGGCCAGTCAGCGCGCGAAGTAAAGCAAAAGCAAAGCAATCCCAAAACTCCTTTCGGCACTCAGAAAAATTGCCCAATCGATCTTTTAAGGTTATTGATGCTCGAGCTTCTCACAAACCGCGACCAACCAACGGATGAATTTTAAAGATCTCAAGGCATGCCTTGAAGTGAGCTGTAACTCAAGATTTGCCAAAGGATCGAGGATTCACTCTGTTCTTACATTCTTAGGCTATTCTGTCTGAGCCTTTCGCGTATAAAATCTGCGCTAATCGGTCCTCACATTTCGAAGTTACGTTGTATGACGACATTTTTAAAATCCTCTCTTAATTGCTCACATCCATCGTATTATGGTGTGTGTTTGTGTTAACTGCTAATCTCTCACCCTGATGTAAACTGCACGCCTTAATATCATAGTCGGGGCGTATTCCAGCTTTCGTCAGTGTAATGAAGCGACTAGGTAGGGCAGCGTTCAAACAGTGTTCAAACAGCGTTCAAACCCTGACCTTTTAATTCTGATTTAAGAGTGTAATTAACTTTTTTAGTTTAGACCCATACCTCTCACCGCTATTCAAAATTTCTTCCCTTCCTCTGGGTGCAATTGGAGTGTTCTCCAAGTTTTTAAATTTCAATAGTTTTTCAAGTGTCAACAGCCATAATGAATCAACGGCCTCGCAACTTTAATTGAATGGGTAAACCTTAAAGATTGCTCATCAGTCAGAGCGTGTAGGAGCTGTAAAAGAACTTGAATTTGTCGCGTCAAATCTCGAAATCAGCTGTTCACAACAGTTGCTTTGCCACTATTTTGTTACTGATCATTACCAGGTAAGATATCAGACGCCGAAGCATTCGGAATTCTAAATGAGTGTAGCTGACTTCGTTTGAAAATATGCGCTCAAAATAGAAAATGCCTTCATAGACATGATTCTTCAAACACTCGTCATTAACAAAAAGTGTTAGGTTCATCGTAAGTTCTACCACCCGGAAATGCAGTTATTGATGGACGGTATTTTCAAGAAGATTCCTTGGAAAGAGTTCAAAACTTTACAGATAGCCCACACTAGTATATTCCCAAAACTTTTGAATTAGAATTCGTGTCTACCGGAACGTTCTCTGCGACCAAACCAACATGTTTAAGAACAAACGTAAACACTGACGTCATTATTAACTCACCCATAGAGGATTTCAAACAACGCGTATTCATATGGGTATACACTCATGCTGACAGGAAAGCGCAGGACTCGCAATCACTAGAAGACAGATGAAACCGTTCTTGCAATTTAAAAGTCGATTATCGTTTAGCTTCCACTCACTAGAACTAACCTGAGCTTGTTCTGCCGCAATCTGGTTCTTTAAGAGCCGAGTAATGGCCAAATAAACTGTTCGTGACCAAAGTAGATGGTTGATCAAAGATAGAGTATGGCGAAGGGTCATCAACAGCTGTTGATCACAGCACCGTGTGCTCCCTTCCGCGGCACCTACTGCGTCCACTAGTGATAAACTTTTCTTTGCCGTAACACCAAGCTGTGTTATGTGGGGGTCTGTGCTTTTGTGATTTGCGGTGTTTCTTTATCTCACCTTTTATTTATCTTAAGATCCCGTCAGTATGTCAAGTTCCGTGTTTTGACAACACGGGTGATAATGTTTAGCTATCAAGGGCGTTGTCGCCGAACTTGCTCCGGCTAGTTTTTCGTCAGAACAACTACTGACCCATTTTGCAAAAAACATTTGAGCTTTTTTTTACTGATACGTTACCTCAGCGTTGTATGAAGACATTTTGTTAACAAACGGTTGAATGCTTGACTGTTTTAAATCTTCATCAAGATCTGTAAGTAGTTTAGTTATGGTGGCGTTTGATCTCTTAATCCGACCTAAAGTAATCATAAATTTACCATAAGTTTACAATATATTTCCTATACATACGTTATTCTGTCTAATATATAATTCCAAAAAAAATGTGTATACTTACGTTATTCTGTCTAATATATAATTCCAAAAAGAACCGTTTTTTTTTTATTTCTTTCTGTAATGGTTCTCTGTCATTTTTGTTATAAGCATTATTGGTCACCAGCGTTTATTAAGTGAAAAGTTGAATAAGAAATTAACGGGAAAACAAAGAATTTCTTAGATTTTTGTCAACATTGTGATCCGATAGAAATCAGGGAACCATTTGCTCTTCCCGAAATTTCATTTGTTAGCTATTTTCCTCACGGCAGTAGGAAAATTTTGCTGTAAAACCACGAAATGACAATAAACAAGTAACATTCATGAGTCAATTTAATGAACATGGCAGAAAATTTCTGCTGTGGCTAAACAACGATGTCTTAACTATATGTCGATCCGTTCTTTTTCCTTTGTTTTCGTGAATATAAGTGCCCTGTTTGTCTCTTTCACTCGAGACCAGAGAGTTAATTTTCTAGTATCAAACAGAGACGTACCTATAAATAACTTTATGCATTGTGATTTGGATGTCGTGAATTTGGTTTTTTTCCCACGCTCGTTTCACCTTTATCCCCCGGGTTTTCATGTAGTTACGATCAGCAGTCCCCAGTTGGAAATCTTTGCAACCCAAAAGAAGTGGCCATCTCGCGAAGCACATGGAGTTGGTATATTTAACTGAACAATAGCTACTTGGAACAAAGGAGGCGCTCCTGCGTGCATCACGCCATTCGTGACTGTGGCATGTATCTTGTCTTCAGTCTTCAAAACAAAGCTGGCTCCTAATGTTCTTGCTTTGAAAGTTCGATATAGTAATTTACTTCATATCTACAATCAAATTTTTGCAAAGTTGATCTTCACACCGAGTTTCATTTATTCAAACATAGTTCCCACCACGTTACAAAGATCAAATTAACTTTTCAGTTACTGCCGTCCCATTCGTTAGTTAAGACAATGGCAAAGAACAGAAAAACTGACTAAACTTGTCAAAGTCAGTTCATTCAAAGGATAGGATAATATCGAATATTAATATCCACCAAAGCGTTCGAACATGTCTGGCGAAATCTCAAACTGAAGCTATCTTTGATTTTTACTATCGCCAAACTGCCACATATCAGAAGCACTCATGTTTGTTTGTTTGCATGCGCTATTAACAGGCCATTATCCCGCACACAAAGTCATCTTCCTTTTCTTTAGGGAAAGGCTCTGAAGATTAGAAGACATGTCGGTTCTGCGTGGCATCTCACATGATTCTCAAGTGAGAAGAAATCAGGCATGCCCCAAAGGTAAAATGAACCGCGAAGGATTGTTATACAGACGCCACCAGCGGCGAGGCAGGAAATACATGTAACAACGATGATCTAAGATATTCAAAATGGGCTGGAAAGAACAAAAACCTAACTCCTTACTAATCACGAATTATAGCTCTTTTGAAGACAGTATGGGTTACTTGTGCTATTCATTACATTGTTTGATTGTAACCCCCGCGTGTAGTTTCGTTAAAAAGGCGGAGCCACACTGGACTCTTAGGCAAAGTTATTGGTTGCGAATTTAGCACCTCTTTGAAGCAAACAATAAAACGTAGATTATTAACACAAACACTAAACACAATGAACGACCGCATCATCGACCCTGATGTCTCTTTCATGTCACTGCACTTTGTTTGTAACCTGGCGTTTTGATTGGCTCGCGATAAAAAATGGTACACCACCGTATCAATTACGCTGCTTGGTTAACATTGGGTCAAAAATACTGACAACAAATTAACGCCGTCAGTTGAGAAGCTGCCACTCGTCTATCCTGCGCTGTCGTGTAAACATTGTGACAACCAGGTCTCGTTGAATTGATAGCATTTGTACACAGTTTTTTACAAGCACGACGGACATTGTAGTGGTCATGAAAGATCAGGTTGGATTATATAATCAAGAAATGGGTTCTCAAGAAACGATAACAACTTCGGACGAGAAGGTTTCGGGAAACCAGGATGGCCATTCGGTTGCTAACCAAGAGAGGGTGAGCGAAGAAGATAAAGAGTCTGAAAAATCCAAAGAGGACGAGCAAACAGGAAAGTGCGAAAGCAAAGGGGGAGAAGAGAAAAAGTTTGAGAAGCCGCCATTTTCGTACAATGCTTTAATAATGATGGCTATTCGCGGGTCACCGGAGAAAAG